GTACCCTAGCTCCCGAGCCGAGACAACTCCGGTGATGACGGACATGTGGCCTTCGGCACCGAGTCAGGGTTTCCTAAATTTTCCCATTTTAAAATATTTAGGTGGCGACTCTGTATCTGGCAAAGCAGTCCATGTTTGGTACTTCTTTTCAAAAAAAATCTGTTTCTCAAAACGATTTGCCAGATTTGGACTCTTTGGTTCAAGATTAAGAACTGTGACGATTTGAGAGTCCGAGCTGTAGTGACCCCAAGATGAACAGAACGGGACTCACCCTCTCGGGGCGTTCGGGGACGTCTACAATGACGAAATATGAGAAGGATAGGAAAAAAACAATCCAAAAAAATAAAATCAGATTTGATGCTCTAGGGATAACGTCCCTCAAGAATTCAATGTTTGGTTTTATTGAAAAGGACAATAGTGAAAGTTGTAGGGTGGGAAAGAGAAAGGTGGGTGAAACTGATAATGACGAGGACTATCAACCACTTGATGATGATGAAGGACTGAGTTCTTCAAGTGATAATGGTGAGCCTTTTGATTCTCAAGTGATTGAGGTAATAGATGTGTGTATAAAAAGTAATTTCTCTATTTTTTTCACTTGTTATATTACTTGTGGTATGTTTAGTTATTTCAAATTTATTTTTATTAAGAAACCTTAAATTATTGAAAATGTACTAACAATTCTTTTTTATATTATGTCAGGATATTCATATGGGTCCCGGTAAGAAAACAAATAGGTGTGCAGCTCGCCTAATAGCTTCACAAACACATAGGGAAAAGAGAAGTACTGTTGATGAAGATACACTTACTTTTCCGAGACGACATGTAGCTGCACAAGTTAATCATTCAGAGAGCACACCTAAGGTCTTGACCCAACCTATCCATCTTCTCGCCTTATATACTAGGCCCGATCAGCTCCCTACCTTCGCCACTTACTTTTCTGAGACGACATGTAGCTGCACAAGTTAATCATTCAGAGAGCACACCTAAGGTCTTGACCCAACCTATCCATCTTCTCGCCTTATATACTAGGCCCGATCAGCTCCCTACCTTCGCCACTTACTTTTCTGAGACGACATGTAGCTGCACAAGTTAATCATTCAGAGAGCACACCTAAGGTCTTGACCCAACCTATCCATCTTCTCGCCTTATATACTAGGCCCGATCAGCTCCCTACCTTCGCCACTCAACCTGACCACCTTTCAAGTCCATGTACTATGACTAACAGTGGAGGTGAGAAATAAATGACCACTTAAATGAAATGATAATTTCTTGTCTCAATATTTATTTAGTGCATTCATGTTTTATGTCGACTAAATTGAATAAAATTTTCGTCATAATAGCATCAATTCCAGTTTTGGGCAAGAAACGTGTACGAGGACCGACCCGAGGAAAGAATGTTGAGAAGATTAGAAAGGAACGTGGTGATCGAATACCCGTTACACTTAACCGTTTGACCAAAGCAATAGAAGGGGAATACGCCACACCGCTAGCAGCTGCTCTTGGTCAACAAATTCGAGTTCATGCCCCAGTTCGAAATGATGGATGGCTAGAAATTGCCTTTGGGTTAAGAGAGTCCATTGTTACAAGAGTTGGGGTAATTTGAAATATATGTGTTATAAATTTAACATGTTATTTATGTTAATCGCAATGATATATAAAATATATTGAATTTTATTATTTCCAATTGCAGCAAACTTTTGACTTTGGGGACTACAATAATGATGTGGATGTGAGATGTATTATTGATCATAAGTGCCAAACTTTGTACAGTGAATGGAAAAGTAGATTACACACACACTACAAATCCCTTAAAGAAAACAATGTATCTGACCTCAAAAGTCAGATACTATATCCTTGTACAAAGGATGATTGGGAATGGATGATTGACAATTTGTGGGAAACTGATGATTGGAAGGTATTTATAAAAATATTTACTAAAGTAACATCTTCCTGTATATTAATACCTAATATTTTTTTTTAATTTGTAGGTAAAGTCAGAGAATGCGATGAAAGCGAGAGGTTGTGTGAAGTATAATCATACGAGTGGCTCGAGATCATTTGCATCGCGAGCATCTATCATTGTAAGTGTAGATTTACAAATTTGAACATACTAAATTATAAATATATAATTTTTTGATTGACTAGAAAATCTAATGAAATGAAAGGTACAAGGAAGCAAACCGACTATTACGAAACTATTCGAGGACACCCACAAACGTCACCGACATGGGGGAGTGTGGATAAATAACACAGCTGAGGAACATCATGTAACCATAACTATTTCAATTTCAATAATAAATGTTTGCATTTTGATATTATGTTTTAAGCTTATTTATGTTTCATTCATAGGCCACTATGGTTTCAAAGATCGCTGAGCAATCTCAACCTAGTGTCACACATCCATTGTCTGAGGAGCAGATTTCTAGAGAAGTACTTGGGAAGAGGTCGGTCTTCTTGAAGGGATACGGGATCCGCAAGGACAGTACTTCATCTTCTACACATTTTGAGGCTCCTAACTCCGAGGTGATTGTTCTTCAACAGCAGTTAGTTGACCAGCGACAACAATTAGCTGACCAAGGAAAGCAGTTAGTTGACCAGGCTCAAAGCATGAGTACAATGCAAACTATCATTCAAATGTTGGCAGCAAAAAATGGAATAGATCTAGCAAACATTCTGGGGTTAGTTCCAAGCAACAATGCTGGTGAGGATGCATCGGGTGTAAGGGAGGATGAAACTTCTCTTGGTTGAAATAGAGGTAAATTTGACACCTCATTAAATTGATTTACTTTATTTAACCAATCCTAACATGTGTCAACAATATAAAATTATATAAACTTTGTATTACAATCCTAGCATTACAACCTTTGTATACAATAGCTTGATAAAACAATAGCTTCACAACAATTTTCTGATTAATTTTAAATGTATTTGTATATTATTGTTGAAGTTAATGCATTAATAAAATACTCATGTTTTTATCCTTTTGTTCACAGGTTGGTGATGGATGTTCGTGGTTCAATACTGATATATATGGTCATTAAAGATATGATAATTTATCGTTTCGCACGTAAGCATTCATTTTATTTTTCTTTCTTTCGTTTTATAGGTTATTTTGTTGAATATTTAGATACTTTTTGGAATTATTATGTTTGGGATTGTTGGATATAGTTAGACACATTTTAGGATTCTTATGTTTAGTTTTGTTGGATATTTGAATAAAATTTGGGATATTGAAATGCATTTGATATAAATTTGGTTACATTACTAATTGTTATGATGTGTTCAGTTTAGTTTTTACGCAATGTTATGTAAAGGTTTTTTTT